ATGGAAGAACACTTAGAGATCTCAATGTTCCTGAGGTCACTAGATTGGTCAAAGGCCCTAGAGTTCTTATCTGGGGGTAGAGTTTTAGGCCATGTTTGGTTCATTGCTCTGGGCTTCATTCTCTTAATTCTTGCTCTTTTTAGGTAAGGATTGGCAAGAATGAATAACATTAGAGTGTTTGGTTATAAAATTCTTGCCAATGGCCACGTTCTTTTTAGAATGAAAAATCAGCCCCATATCACAAAAATTGACTAGCCTGCAGCATGAAAAACAATCATGCCCCATCTTGCTCATTTCATTCTTTGAGGAAACTCTACCTAGAAAACTGTTGTCATAGATGTTTACTTTTGTAAAAACACTTTACAAAAGTACTTTTATGAAAATACTTATATAAAAATACTTTTATGAAAGCACTTTTATAAAACTACTTTTACATGAAAGAACTTTTATGGAAGTACTTTTACAAAAACACTTTTATGAAGGAACTCTTATAAAAGCACTTTTACGGAAGTAAGTTTATGAAAACAATTTTATGGAAGTACTTTTACGAAAGTACTTTTATAAAAGCACTTTTTGAAAGTACTTTTATGGAAGTACTTTTATAAAAGCACTTTTACGAAAGTACTTTTATGGAAGTACTTTTATGAAAGTACTTTTATGGAAGTACTTTACGAAAGTATTTTTATGGAAGTACTTTTATGAAAGCACTTTTATAAAATAACATTTACAAAAGTACTTTTACAAAAACACTTTTACGGAAGTACTTTTATAAAAGCATGTTTAAGAAAGTACTTTTATAAAAGCACTTTTATGAAAGCACTTTTACGAAAACACTTATAAAAACACTTTTACGAAAGTACTTTTATAAAAAGAATTTTTATGAAAGTACTTTTATTACAAAGCATCTGTGCCAATTGGTAAACATTGACTATTGGAGACCTAGGCTGGCGGTTTGTGAATATTGGCACTTTTTTTTTGAAGAATGAAAATGAGTAACATAGGACACTTGTTAGTCTGAAAAGAATTCATTTTTAGAAAAAAAGTGTTTGGTTCATAGCAATATTTTCTCATTCTGCATATTTTTACCCAGTCTTTTCCATTTTAGAATTTCATCTTGGGTAAGAATGAGAAAGAATGAGAATTGAACTAAACATGGCCTTAGGCGCGAAGGAGAGAGAGTGAGAGAAGTGGGGCATACCTTGAGGAGGTGTGCCCTTTTATAGAGAAGGAATAGACTTGTTTATGGGCCGGGTCGGGCTGGGCTTTTACTCTTCATAAACAGGATTTTATTAGACCTGAGCCCGAGCTCGACCTGACCAACGGGCCTACAACTCGGGCCCGAGCGAGCCTGGCCCTAATAAAAAGCTCGAAGCCCGACCTAACAGAAAGATGACAAAGAGAAAGGACTCACCGCCGATGACTATGTTCACCGGTGCTAAGTTCGCGACTGAGAGAGAGAGAGAGAGAGAGAGAGAGAAAGAGAGAGAGGACTCATTGCCGATCCGCTAGAGTTCACTGGTTGCACCGATGAGTGTTTGCCGGTTCTGTCTGCCTGAGAGTGTGAGGTTGCGCCGGTGAGTGTTCAACTACTAAGAGGAGAGAATTGAGGTTCGGCTAGAAAGAGATGAATGAGAAGAGAGGGCTTAGGATATTTAGGGTTTTTGGTTTAACCTAAAAGTTGGGTTGGGTTTTTTAACAAATCCTAAGCGTGGCTCGTAAAATAGTCGGGCTTTGGATTTTAGGCCCGAGGTCAACCCTGCGGGCTCAAATTTGTGTTCAAGCCCGTCCAAGGGCCGAGCCGACCCATCTGGCTTCCCAACCGATGAACAGGTCTAAGGAGGAACCACCAGTTGCAAGGGTGATGACTCCTCCTTGGATCGGTTCTGGTCCTTCGCTCGTAATGGCCACGTTAACCCTAAAAAATATAAAAACCTCCCCTTTGGTTTTTGACGATCATAAAAAACCTCCCCTGTAGTATTGAGAAAACCTACAGTTACCTCCCTTTTGTTATTATCCTGGACGGAAAACATTGGCCAAATGAAAGATACCCTAATAAATTGTAAGAGTAATTTTGTATCCTTCAAGTCTCCATTACTAGGACAAAGATGAAAGGAAGGTAACCGCAGGGTTTTTGTGAAAGAGGCCTTTGTTAAAGTGAAATCTCAAGAAAGGTTATTATGATTGTGAGACACTTTAAGGGAGTTTTTTATATTTTACCCTAATCCTTATCCTCTTTACTCGACCGTTACTTGGGTTGCTATATCGTCATCAGCCCACTATTAATACGTGGCCGTTACTCAGCTGGTACGTTGTGGTCGATACCCCAATGAATTTCCCATTTTGCCCTCCAATGTGGACCACATGGCATCTTCTAATTAACCTGTATTATCTGGCTGTATCAGTAACCCTTCTTTTACAAGTTGTTTTAACCACTCAGGTGGAAAATGCAAACCTCCACCAAATACAAGAAGTAAGTTTAACGTTTCTCCTTGGTGGGTTGATTTCGGGGCTAGTTGAGGTAGGATCGAACCCGTGAGGTCATGACACCTTTGTATACTGAAATAAATGATACATCACTATTCATTACATCTCAAGAAAAAGACTCAAGGGAGGAGACAAATTGTAATATGTTGATGACAAAAGGGAGTTATTTCCACCATTAATTTGTTTTGTTTCCACGCTAACATTTTTGACAGTTCTGAATGCAAATTCCACCAACTTCTGAACCAATAAATTCATCAATTTTTGCTCCTCCTAAGCAATTTATCATCAAGTCTCTCTCTCTCTCCACCATGAACGATGATGGGTTTGACTGTTGGGGACAGTTGAGAATGTTCTTTGGGCATGACAGTTACTTAATTACAGTGTAGGGTAAAAGAGTAATTGTCATCAATATTCTTTTGACCATGAATTGAATGGATTAACGTGGCATACCCAAGAACGTTCTCAACAGCCCAACAGCCAAAATTTTCTCATTTAGTGCAGCCATTAAGAATCAAACGGGGAAGAGATTTTGTATGAGACCGATCATGTATGCTGTTAATTACTACCGATAGAAATCTAAGTGCAGTGAACATGAATGAACAAATGGGAGGTGCCCACAGAAGATTATTCTATATATTTTGAGAGAATAGTGGCCAAAAACCAGTTGGGTTTTGGCATTATATGGTAAAGCCACTGTTATTATCATTTAATACAGAAATCAGAAATATCTTGATGCGGGTCCCTCTCTTTTTTAGAAACTGATCAAGAGAAAATGGAAAGGCCGATGCTACAAGAGAACCCAAATGAGTTAAATGAAAAATCCAAGCATTTGGCGCATTGACTCATGCATACAGTGAGAAAGAATGAAGCCCAGAGAAGCTAAGGCAGAAGAAATAAGAAAATACCCTCCAGCAGATCATTTTCCGGATTGCAAGAAATCACAAAAGCTAATAAAGAACAATGCTAGATGAGCAAGAGTGACGTGATAGTTGGTGGTGTTAGTTAATGCCTAATGGGTTCGACTTGTATCTTAATTGCATAGATAGATATCTAATTTTATAATGAACCCCTTTAGTTGGCAATCACGTGGTTTGATTAAATGCTTCCTCCCCGGAGCAAAACTTAGGGGCTTCTGCTTCACTTTATTACCAAAGTCGTTTCCTTGTGTTGTTGGGAGTGGAGCAAGGTTAAAAGTATCGTTACGTATCGGTTTATATCAGTTGATATATATAGTTCTGGGACTTTTTCGATATATTCTTACAGTAGGTATATCGGGGTCTGACCGGTTCAGGGGATGAAAGGGTTCTAGACTGATTCTCCTGAACCAGTTTTAAAATAAAATAAAAATAAATAAATAAAAAAAAGAGTATCAAAACGCCCGATACGCCTCTACCGGTGTATCGGACATATCRATAATTTAAACCTTGAAGTGGAGTGGGTTCCAAACTTCCAAATTCCCACCATCCCCGGCTAGTCTAGTGTAGATCCATGGGTCTCATCCAATCCGGTATTTTTGATTAATGGGCTGCTTAGCATGTTCAGCCCGAGTGGAATTCAATTGGAACTGGTGCTTAGACTTGAGAGAGGAATTGATTCCAAGTTCCAACCGAATTCAATAAAGAGACCCTTTCTTGGATCATCCACTGTAAAACCCTTTCTTTTCTCATTGTAAAAAACAAAGCTTCCAAAGTGGGGAACCAGGAGGAAAGTCGTCCAGATTGTAACAGATCATGAGGTGGGTCCAGCACCTGCACACGTCCATACAAAGTCCTCTTTAAAGATTTGGTTTTTGGTACACACAACAGATGTACCTACTCCCTGAAATTTCAATATCTCGCAGAATTCTTCCCCATTCCAGCATTTGCTTCAACGGTTGGTGTTTGCATGGAAGCCACTGGGCAGTGGGCTCCCCCTATCCCGAGCCAAAGCCCAGCCTAGAAAAAGAAGGAATTGAATTTTGCATTAATTAAAGCTGTCTCCATACCTACCGCCCAGCACAACAGTCTGTTACAAGCTACAACCAAGCCGAGCGTGTAGAGTGTAGACTGTAGTGTTTCTATTTTCAGGGGAATTTAAGCCAGCACTCGGTAGAAGTAGGACCCATAACCATAACCCTTCCAATTCTCATTCTCAAGTGTAGAGAGAGAGAGAGAGAGACTTCATGGAGGGTCTTAGAATCGAGGTTCCTTGGGATGGAGGTGGATTGGCTTAAAAGGCGAAACCAATAGTACGAGGAGCACGTGCGCATTCCTAACTACCAAGTCTTTAGTCTTAGGCCTGAATGCATCACCACAATGCCCAATTGGAGTCAGGAGTATTTTACTTGTTACATGACCCTTTATCACATGGTTTCTGATTCCTTCTAAACTCCACTAGCTGACATGGCATGTTTTAATTTACCAAAACTGCCCCTCATTTCCTGATCCTTGAGGGGATAAATTCGGTACTTCACAAAAGTTCCCAAAGAAGGCACGGTGGGGTGTCTGTTCCATCCAATATTTAACAGCGTGTCAAGTCGAAGTGGATTAACAGCCCAAGGGGGAGACGAGGAATTTTCCACTCCGTTTCTTCATTTTTTTCTTCTGCAGGATCGTACAATAAACAAAACAACCAACCAGATCATCCCACGGAATGAGAACAAAGAAGAGAGTTCAGTGGTCAAAACAGTTAAGCCTTTCGTAACAATTTCATCAGAAACCAAAGCAGGAAGCAGAGAGAGAGAGAGAGAGATCTATTATATCTTCTTCTGTTTGGTGTTTCTGTTGTCATGGCTACCTAGAAGCTTTGACAGAAATGGGGAAGACCAGCAAATGGATTAGAAGCTTCTTGACAGGGAAGAAAGACAAGGAGAAACAAAGGGAAAAGGGGAAAGGGAAAGTTAATACCAAGCAACTTTCATCGCTTCCCACTGAAAACCCAACAACACCAATTACAGTTCCACCTACAACTCCAAAAGAGAAACGCAGATGGAGTTTCCGAAGATCAACAGCCTCAGCTGCGGCCCCCAAGGATTTGAATTTCATGGAACCAGTTGCTGCCAGTGCACCAGCGATACAGGCCATCTTAGAATCTGAGATTGAGCAAAAGAAGCATGCAATGGCTGTGGCAGCTGCCACGGCTGCTGCTGCCGATGCAGCAGTGGCAGCTGCACAGGCTGCTGCTGCTGTGATCCGTCTCACTGCTGCTACCACAAGGCCCAATGCCGTTGAAGAGGCTGCCGCCATCAAGATTCAAGCTGTATTCCGCTCCTACCTGGTATGAATCCTAATGTCATCATCTAAAGCTCCATCCTAAAATCATTTTCTCCTGTTATGCTTATTGGGACCCCTATTTTTGGTTTTTATAGATTACATGGATATGTGTGGCCATGTGGGTACTGGATACCTTAACATAGATCAAAATTAGGCCAAAAGAGAAATAGAATAGCAAAGATTGCAGAGGAAAATGTAGACTGAATTTTTCATGGTGGTGATATTACAGGCAAGGAAAGCATTGTCTGCATTGAAAGGACTAGTGAAGTTGCAGGCCTTGGTAAGGGGTCATCTGGTGAGGAAACAGGCAACTGCTACTCTGCGGTGCATGGAGGCACTGGTGACAGCTCAGGCCAGAGCCAGAGCTCAGAGGATCAGGTTAGCTGAGGAAGCGCAGACCACCATTCAAAGACAATCAATTCACAGAAAATCCTTACAGGACCACCGGTTTAGACAGGTAAACAATGTACGTGCCTTCTCCCTCCTGCATTTCAAATCTATGATATCATAACAAATTCAATTGCCTTGCAAGTTGCATCCATGAATCAAAATCATAAAATATAAGCCATATATCTTCTCAAAATTTTGTAATGTTAAAACATTTATTTAATTTTCTAAGAACCTCTCTACCCAGAAGATGTTTTATATTCTAGGAAACATTGGTAATTCAAGTTCAATCTCTGATCTGAAATCTGATCTTTTTATGTATGTAGGAGATTGATAGAGGGGTGGAAGATACCATTAAGATTGTGGAGATGGACCTTGGTGAATCAAGAAGCTCAAAGAGCAGGAATATCTACTCAACCCCCCCACAAACTGAACGGTTCGAACAAAGGCTTTCCATGTATTATGCTGGGCATCGTGTAAACTCGAAGCAAGAATACCAGTTCCAGATGTCACCTGCTCCATCAGCTTTGACCGATATGAGCCCAAGAGCTTGTAGTGGCCATTTTGATGATTATTCCTTCCTCACAACACAGAGCAGCCCCCAATGCTACACTGCTGTTACCAAACCAGACTCAAAAATGGGCTCCTTTGCTTTTTCCCGGTCCGAGTATGCTGATTCAGTTTCCAATGACTATCCATTCTTTCCACATTACATGGCAAACACAAAATCTTCCAGGGCAAAAGTCCGTTCACAGAGTGCACCTAAACAACGACCTGATTCATTCGAGAGACAACCAAGCAGACGAAGGGCATCAATTGAAGGAAGGAATATCCCAAGGAGCACCAGGATGCAGCGTTCATCTTCTCATCTGGGTTCCAATATTAATGGACACCAATACCCATGGCCGATCAAACTTGACAGGTCCACCATGTCCCTCAAGGATAGTGAGTGTGGGTCGACCAGTACAGTTCTGACAAATACCAACTACCACAGATCCCTTGTAACATATGAGGTGAATACCAGTTGATCCAATATTAGAATCATGGAATGGTTTATAAATTTACAGCACATTTTCCAGACAATGGTTTTAAGCCACCCCCAATTTAGCTTAGTTACTTAACCAGCTACCTTCATAAAAATCTAATTGTATGCTTTTCATTACCTTCCATCACTGCAGGCGCATGGGAATAAGCACCGACAGTTCATCAATCTCCAAAGTTAGGACTGGGATTTGTCACCATCAAAGAAGAAGGAACAACACAGAGCAGGACAAATCAAAGACAATCCACTAATGGAGTTTCTATTGTAGGAGATGCTAAATATACTGATTGTATTTAATTTTATGATATGATGTCTTTGCAGGGGATTCCTTATATCAGAAGCCTCTCTCTAACATTCAATTTCTGCCTTGAGTGTTTCTACATCTTTTCTTGCCTCAAGCATTCTAATGAGAAAGAATGAGGTAGCTGGATTGCAGCAAACTAATTTGTAAAGGCAATACCGAAATCAGATTTTTTTTTTATCAACTGTAATCTGTTGCAAGAAATATTGTGAGGGATGTGATACTTTTCTAGGAACTTTAACCATGCGTTGATGTATCAGAAATTATGTACCATTATTTCCATATAAGCTATCTTCTATCTATTGGACTGTAGACCACTTCCACCATAGTACTGCTTGGTAGTTTCACGGGAGAATTCTGCAAATGTCATCCCATCCTTAAAGCGTGATGACAGTGGTGGAACTATTTTTTGAATCTCCTGAATTAGTTGATGTTCTTCCTGCTTGGCAAGGTGAATCTTCTCATCATAAGACCCAGAACAGTTGCTATGTACAGTCACATTTTCCCTTGAAAAGCCTGAGAAAGTTTTGCTCCAAGATGGTTGCATGAAAACCACAAAAGTTTCTCTACTAATATTTTCTTGCTGAATTGGTCTGCATACAGAGTGCAGGGCTGAACGAAGCTTTCCTTTTGATAAAATATCAGCTGACTCCCCCACCTGAATAATAATATTTTCAGGAGATGATCTCACCACAAGGAGGCTATTCTTGTTGGGATCAAATATTTGCAAGTATGTGTGTCCATCAGGAGGCAGACATTCTTGTTGAGTTTCCACACAAACCCCATCTTTTGCTTCTGTTGTTGGTGGATGCCATGCTGAGATAAACATCGGAGCCGTCAGAACAGTGAAAATACCATAGTCATAGTGCCACTGTTGCCATAAGTCGGAAAGAGAAGTTCTGCATGATTGATCTTGATCAACATTTCTTTCTGATTTTGAGAATTCCACTGAATTTTTCTTATTTCTGCCACAGGATCCTGAATCTATTGACCCACAAGGAGACTGAAACTGACATTTAGCTGATAACTTGGTAGATCTTTTTCTTCCAGCTTCCTTTAACAGAAAATTGTCTAGAGTGGAATGATAATGTATAAGGCGTCCCTTTGCACTACAAGATTCCAATAAACTTTCTTCTAGCTCTTGGCTCCCAATGGCCTTATCACAAACTCGTGCCAAGTGAAACCCTAATTCCATCATGCAGAATCCTAGCTCCTTAAAAATGCTTCCAAGATTCTTGAATTCATTATCCTCAAATATTGACTTACCCCCAATTGGATTCTCTTCTTCAGAGAAATGACTTTCTTGATTTGTATAGTTTTTCTCACTTAAAGTATGTTCTGAAGTTGGATCTCCCACATATCTCAGTTGCAATGCAAAAGATGAGACTGTTCTATTGAGATTCTTCAGAGGAACATCACTTCCCAAGTTGTGGTCCTGGAATTTTACCAAACAAATTTTGAGAGTTAAGAGCAGTATTTAGATGGCATGGGAGGCATTCCTTGACATGAAGCCCTAACAGAATGCCAGGAGGTGTACATACAGGCATGAATACAAATACCTTGTACAAGGCATATGCATCTACTGAATCTTCTATGCAAGAAATACATGCCAGTTTGCCAAATATGTTTCACCCTTTTTGAATAGCTTTATTTAAAAAAGCAAAATAAAAGGATGGGTTCATGCTTAATTATTAATTTTAAATTTGAATATGATGGATTTATTAGTAACAATTGCAAATATAGTTTTTCTAGGCTTTCCTATTTCTCTATACTTTTTAGGAGAACTTCCCTATTTTCTATTTATTTTATTTTTACTGTTTATTAATGGAAAAAAATGTATTCATGAGGCTTATGCCTCTTGCATTCTGGTTTATGGCTCATGTCTCAAGATAGTGAAGCACCTCACATCATGCCTCCATGTTTTAAAACTTTGACTAAGAGCAAGGCAATGCTGCTTAGCAAATAAATCCAAATAAAACAAAGCATGCATATATGATTATATTCTAGACAAGCTTCTTGTAAGTGTATCAAGTGATATAGAGTTTAACTAAAGAGAATTCCAAATTCAGACTGCATAATTTGGTGATTCCACAAAATGAAGTTTCTAGATCTCAATATCCATTCAGTAATAAACTCAAACAACCCTAAAACCATTTTTTTACATGTTGAAAAAAGCCAGAATAATAAATCCATAATAAGACAATATGGAAAATGCAAATTAGAGAAAGAACAAATAAACAAGCACCAATGGCTATGGGCAACATGGAAAAACACTTTGCATGGCAAACTGAGAACAAAATATTGGGCAGATAAAAGATGTTTAATCAATGTTTTCAATTCATCATTGACCCAATCCAGTTGGCCCAGTCAACCCATTACCCAGCCAAGATTCTGGGTCCATTTAACCCCTTATCCACTTGATTCCTAAAAACAATTGACCAAGTCAACAACTTGGTGACCTGGCCAGCAAAATAATTGAAATTTTGACCCAGTCAGCAGGTTACCGGGTTGTTGACACTAAACTTTTCTAAACCATAAAATATCATTTATTTTTGAGAAACATCCATCCAAATGCTAAAAACCTAATATTCAATGCTTTAACCTAACATGCATCTAAGTCCTTTACCTTTTTTCTCCATTTTTAGCTATTTCTACCATTAATAACAATAAGTATTATTTTTTACACTTATTTTATTTAATATGATGAATATATGATACTATGAATAAACAGGTTGATCCGTTTGAGCCCGACAGATGAACCACTAACCCACCACCTGGAGGGAAAGCAGCAGTTCTGTTTCCAGGTCAATCTAAAACACTGGTTATAAATTATGTCCAATCTGACATTGCTTCTTCAATATGTAACAAAGACACACCATTCTCTTAAAGTAGCCATATTTGCCACTGTCATGTTTATGTCAAAAACATGCAAATAATTCTAAAGTAGCACAGTATTTCTGGATTTCCAGAAACCAAACAACAAAGGTGCTGAATGGTTTTTCCAAATGTTGATTTCTTTTTGCATATCTTCAAGAAAAAACAAATTCATGTAAATCAATATTTCATTACAAACAAAATGGTTGTAAGGCCAGAAATATTGTATAGAATAGAGCTCTGGGAAGTCAGAAAAAACAACATATTCCAAAAAAAAAAAAGCGTGGCAGAAATGCAAATGTTGAGATGGAAGAGAGAAAAAACTATAAAGAATAATGTCAAAACGGAAGCCATTATAAGGAACCTAGGAGTAGCTCCAACAGGTGATAAAATGAGAAAAAGTAGTCTAAGATGGTTTGATCACATGCAGAGAAGACCATCAATAGCATAAAACTAACCAATATGTTACAAGTTGAAGGAGAGCTTGAAGCAGGCCAAAAAAGACATGGGTTAAAGTAGTAAGGAATTAATCAAGCACTCATAACTTAACAATGTATATGGCACTGAACAGAATGGAATGGCAAAACAGGATTCATGTAGCCAACCTTATATGGTTGGGACAAGGCTTAGAAGTGGCTGTGGAGGTGGCCTTTGGAGCGGGATAGACTCCGGCACGAAGTAGTGAAGAGTATTCATGGATGTTCAAAGAGTGGTTGGGATGCTGGTGCATCAAGGAGGGCAAATCTAGCCACACCATGGAAAGCAATTCACAAAATTCTTCCGCAATTCCTCAGCTGCGTCAGGTATGATGCTTGTTCTGTTAATTCTATTCGGTTTTGGGAGGACATTGGGGTTGGAGATCTCCCTCTAAAAGACCTTTTTTCTTCTTTGTACTCTGTTCTTGTATAAAAAAGAGGTGATCTCAAAATTCCTTCCATCGATTTTAAATTTGCCAGCATTGTCTTGGGATTTTGGTTTCTGTAGAGGGTTAAGGGATGAGGAAATTGAGTGTTTGTCTACTCTTCTATATCTCCTTGATAAGGTTTGGCTAGATCCCTCGAAACCTGATAAAAGGATTTGGGCCATTCACCCCAATGGGTCTTTTTCTTGTGGCTCCTTTTTCAAGTTCCTCTGCCAAACTTCCTCTCAACAAAGTTTCCCTTCCAAAGAAGTTTGGTGTAGGCCGGTCCCCCCCAAGGTTTTGGCTTTGTGTAGTGTGGCATGGTAAAGTAAACACGATAGATAACCTACAAAAGAGAAGACCTGTCCTTTGTATTTCACCAAACTGGTGCATTCTTTGCAGATCTCATGGTGAGGATTGTAATCATCTATTTTTTTCTTGTAGTGTAACTGCAGAGCTCTGGGTTTGGCTTCTATCTTTGTTTGGGTATAGTTGGGATATGCCAACAGAAGTAAGCACAATCTTTAACCCTTCTTTTTTCTCTTGGCCCCATAAAAGAGGAAGGAAAATGTGGAGATGCTCACGAGCAGCATTGTTATGGACAGTATGGGAAGAAAGGAATGCCAGGATCTTCCAAGAAAAAGGAAGAAGCAGTCAAGCCTTAAAGGACTGCATTATGTCCAGGTCAATACATCGGTTAAAAACTCTAGAATTATTTAACCATTTTACTTTTACTGATTGTTGGAAGGATTAGAAGTTGGTAGCAAGTTGTTCCTCCCACAAGGTAAAAGGGTATTGACTAGCTGGGTCCCCCCTCCTCTTGGTTCTTTCAAGCTGAATTTTGATGGGAGTAGCCAGGGTAGGGTCCCTCTAGGATGGGAGGTGTACCTAAGGAATGAGGCTGGAGAGGTTGTCTTACTCTACTCTAGCCCTTTAGGTGTTAGGAACTCTATCCAGGCAGAATTGTTAGCTGCAATACAAGGAATACTTCTTGCAAAAGAAGTGGGTGTGGGCAGCTTCTGATTGAAGGAGATTCTAAGACAATGGTGGACTGGTTAAATAATCCGGAGGATGTCACTTGGGGCTACAAAAACGAGCTAAAGAAATTCAAATGGCTGACAAGAAATATGTCTATAACAGTACAGTGGGTTGGGAGATCAGCTAATGCTTTTGCCGATGTCTTGGCAAAACAAGGGATAAATAGGGAAACATTGTTTTGGGCACAACTGTAACTCTTGTTTTAACATCAACATTCATGTATTCTCTGTTGTAGTTTGTGTATTTGCTGTTTGGAGAAGCTGCACCTCGCGCCTCTAAGGGGATTTTCTTGTATCTAATCATTATTTTAATGGAAATGATTTTATTTATCAAAAAAAAACATATCTTCCAAAAACCAGCCAATGTTAAAGTCCAGAAATATAGTAACTTTTTAGTCCATTAGCATAGAACACTTAAGCAAATGGAGTGTTTACCAGGAAATCATTGAGCAGGAAAACTAGAAAAGGATAGATCAAAAATGAGCTTATCCAACAGAACCTAGAAGTAGCTCCACGTAGGCTAAGGTCGTTTGATCACATGCAGAGAAGATCATCTACAGCACCATTAAGAAGTGATTTTTTACAAGTTGAAGGGGAAAGAAGAGCTAGGGACAAACCAAAAAGACATGGATTGAAGTAGTGAGAAATGATTTAAGAGCCCACATTGGCACAGTTTAACCATGGATAACCAAATAGAACAGAATGGCAGAACAAAATTCATATAGTTAGGAAAAAGAATACAAGAAGAATAGTTGTTTTACTTGACATAGAGAAACCTATATTACAGACCATCAACACAGAAAAGCTTACAATTGAAGCTTATATATATTTTTATAAGGGATTCATCAGAATACAAGGGATAAATCATAGAAACAAACACAGACATGCAAAGAAGTGGGAAGGTGAAGGAGGAAAGAGAGGTGACAAGGAAATTCCAACAGCTAGAAATTCCTATTTTTGGGTAGAGACAGTAGTTTAAATGCCAAGTGAATTATGTGATTGTCTTTTAGCTTGCCATTTCAAAGGTTGCAAATGTCTTTCAAAGTGCTGCTACAATGCATGTTCAACACATTGTCAGCTAGCATTCACTTACATGTTCACACACATATGAAGGAACATAATTACAATTAGTGTACATTTTAGGGGTTTGCAAAAATTGAGGTAGGACAGAAATTGTTCTAAGCTCTGATGGTCACCTAGAGCCTAAAATGTTGTATCAAAGGAGGGCTTTGGATCCAATTAAACATCTCATCTAGATAGATCCTAATCCCTACCAACTCAACTACCAGTAGCCCTGCCAAGAGTGTGGATGGGAGGAACTAGTTTTATTAGGTCTCTTCTTATCCATAGGCTTAGTAATGTTTGAATAGTTTTATTTCTTCACGTTCACACATAGAAATACATACATGTGTGCCTGTGTTGAGGGCCCGGGAATAGGATCTCGTCACGGGTCGGTCCACGGGGAAAACCTCCTGTTTTCCCTTGTTTCTTCCTGCTCGTGATGAACCTATCTTGGCGCCTTCGGTGATTTGTCCAAGAGATCACCAACTCTCCTAACTCACTCTTGACTGAATAATTTGATATCTCA